TGAGGCTTGTCTATTTTGCTTGTTGAAGTCTTATAATCATCGGTACGTAGGGAGTAATTTACTAAATTTTATTATTTCTTGATGCCTCAATCTGTTAATGTCAGCCTTGTGTCTATTTTCTATAGTGATAAAAAAACCTTTGTCGTACAGAGTTAATGAATAAATATAGAAATTGACCTTATTCTTCATGGATTGCAACGAATACATCAATAAGATTCTTAATACTTTTGTGGTAAGATGTCCTACTTATTCTCTATTTTTGCTCTCTATTTTTAACAGCAATGGATGCCATACTTCGCAATATTGACCAAAGAATTTCGTTTGATTTATACAGAAGATATTTCTCTTTATGGGGCCAAGCTTCAACCCAACTCCACTCCTGATACGGTAATTCCTTCTTACTTATCCCATTTCATTATTTTTTATACGGAAATATTTGGGCAAGAACATTCAGTGAATTGGCGTTCTTGCTTTGCTTAATTTTAGTCTTTATCTTTCTTAGTGGCTAAATTGTGTAGTTATTAGATATTTTTAGTATTTATTTGTTGATGCTGACATGAATTTACATACGTATGGAGAGCAAGATGGGACCGCCTTTTTTGATCATAATCTTCTTTAGCTGTATGGTGCTGGTTTGACCTCGTTTTCGCAGCATGGTCTGGGTGACAGGTAAAATTTGTGTAACGTACCTAGTTCTTCATCCTTTGCAATGACTTTGCATAACTTATAGCCTAAGGCTCAACAATAGCCATTTCCATTAATAAGTATTATAAACTGGTCTCAGTTTTGAAATATCTTATTTACGCTACATTTAAATTATCTTCTACTTGAGCTTTTATCAGGGCATTGATAGTGTTCTAATGTATTATGTTAGTAACTCATTGATGGTGGAATTTTTGCCATAAGGCTTTGTTTAGGCCTTGATTTTTTTACATCATTCAAACTTTTTCCATTAAAAGGATAATCACTTAAGCGATCCAATTGGCTTCATTTGGTGCAGATCCTTAAGATAGCCCTTTAGTCTTCCCCTGGCCACCGTAAAAAATGCTTGACTTGAAAAAATGCTTGTAACTTTAAAGACATAAACTTTGTTTTGATTGATGTTTATTTAAAGTCTGTATTATTTTTGAAAACTTTTGATAAACCTGTAATATCTGAGACAATGCACTTTTATTTAGTAGCTTATGGACAATATTATAATTCTTCGTTTTATTAACTCATTATCTAACCCGATCACATATATTAAAGTCCTTAACTGTGACCACTTTCTCTGTGTCCTGGTTTGTAGACTGAAGGACGTAGTGCTTTTACCTTGGATGCTATATTTACCCAATAAATGGTTCTCTCTTGGAATTTTAAACTGAACACCAATATAATGCTACTTTAGGTATACTTCTTGTTTTCGAATTGCCTTATTGGAATTATTAAAATTTCAGATGATCTGTATTAGGACGAGTTTTAGACTGCATAGTACATTACGAATTAGAGGCTTATCCTTCTTTAGTCTCACTGGCCATCATTATTTTGTAGCTTTAGAGTCCTACTCTACTTTCTTATTCAATAGAGCAAAGGATAGGCAGATTTTAGCCTTTGAACATAATATGTGGTGAGTCGTTCTTTATTTTTTTTCTACTTTTTCCATTACTATGCAGATACCCTCCCTTCTACCTCTTCCTGTAGCCAGCCTATATCCACAATCATCTGATTCCTCACCTTCATCTGATCTGGCCACAATTTCTACTCCAAAATTCCCTTCATCAGCTTCCTTGATCTCATCAGTCGGCGTTGCTGTGCATGCCGCTATGCACATCTATCTCACTAATCTTCCTAATACTCTACCTGCCGAGTTGGGTGTTGGTCCTGACCTGCTTGAGCTAGGCAACAGCTTCCATGGCCGTATGACGAGGCAACAGGCCGTCGATTGGCTCCATCGCTATTGGTTTCTCGGCGATGGCACTTATGTTATTCGAGCTTCTGAAACCCAACAAAATTCTGTTTCTATTTCTGTCATGTGTGTGCCCTATTTTATACTTGCACTTAGGACGATGACTATGCATGCCGGTTGATCGACACTTATTTGTCACATAAATCGCCTACTCCATGTTAATAATCTTTTTTATTTTTACTCCCTTACTCTTCGAAAATATTTTCAAACTATTTTTAAAAGCTAAAAGCTGATTTTTTATTATTTCTATTGAGATAAGAGAAAGTTTTCAGTTAGCCTTGTTTACGTCTTGCTAGGCACAACTTATTTATTCTCCTTTAAATCGTTCATGCATTCACAGACCTCTCTTCTTAACCCACGGACTATATTATAAGCAGAATCAAAATTTTCTCGGGTTAGGAGCCTCTTATGTCTAGTCGTGGTTCTCCTTTGAGCTAAAACCTCCGCGCCGCTACATCGCACTCCATCTTCGCACAGTATATTTCTTTTATTTTTCTTTTATCTTAATTCTTGCCCTCTTCTGTCACCATTAGTATCTTCCTCAGTCACTTAAAAGTCACATCGTATCAGGGGCACCACACGTCCAGGGAAACTGACTTTTTACCCTCCAAGAGCGAGAGGCCCCCTGCTAAAGCAGCACCTGCAATTCGTAGCAGCTCACGACTTGCATTAAATTGCACACACTATCTCAGTTATTACGTTCCAACCGTCCACCTCAGCTCCTTAATCCCAAACACCGACTATTCTTCACTCCGTAAACAAGATCTTTTATATCTGTTCTATATTGCTTCCCTACTCTAGGTCTTATCTTTTATGGTATCTGATTCTATTGGTCGGTAATATTGTTTTCAACACTCGTAACAACACCACTTGAATCATTAAAAGCATTTGCATCTGCTGCATAAGCATAATGATAAGCCAATGCAACAGCATTAAGATTGGATAATTTTATAGGGGGCTTATTTGGAATTTGTGCATTAAATACAACCCTTAGGCTTCATATTTATTATCAGTGCTGAGAACACAGTATTTTAATCCATTTATTTTAGAAAGGTGGAACTAGAAATGTCTGCTTTCGTTTTGCTTCTATTTTAATCTTTCCTCTTATATGCGGCTTATACATATTACCCTCGCTTTTTCGCCAAATAGCTCATCATAATTATTAATTATCTTAGATGATATATGAATGATTTTTGCTGATGCTCGATTTATTGCCTGGTGTTTCGTAAATTTTCGGTATCTTCATCTGACTTTAAAGCAGTTTTGTCTAACTTTTGTTGCCAAAGTGAGAGATCACGTTTTTGCCATTAACAGAAGACCGATTGTCTATTTATTATGAAACTAATTGCCGTAGTTTGGCTGTCATTGTGCAAACACGTCTGTCTTCTTGTGCAGGCAATGACTTAATGGCACAGTAAGCTTAAGATGTTCTGACTTAATCGATTATGAATGATTAAAGTCTAACTTTCGTGTTAGTAATATACCGCAGGGCTTATAAATTACCTCATCCAGGGTACCCTCGATGTCCTACTAACTTGCAAATATTAATTATTATTTAGTTTTCTCATTTTAAATATTTTTTTAAGTATGTAGCCAATTATCTATCCTAAACTGTTATATCAGTGTTCAGTTCAGTTTTATTGCAAGGAATGGGCTAATACTTATCTGACTAATATACTTAAGCTGATCACATCATTCGAATTACTGGGTATTTAAGCAGACAATTCGTCTAAGCTCAATCTAAATGAGGATATATATTTGATGAAGAAAATATGTGGGACATCTCAAAAGGATAGAAATGACACTTAGCTTTTCTTAGTTTCGTTCTACATTGTACTGCCTTTTATCTGTACCATGTCACCTCAACCGACTGAGAAAGAACATAAGTTTGGCATCTGTAGCTTAGAAATTTTAGTGTAAATCCGGTTTGTTGAGCAGTAGCTATGACGTAAGGGCGTAACATGGTATCTAGAATGGTATGTTCTCTTTAAAAATGTTAGTTGATTCGAGTGATAGACAGGACAACAAAAGCATGCTGATCGGAATGGCGGAGCTTTGTTCGAATACACGACGTAGAAGCCTGGAGACCCAGTGTTACTGTGAGGATATGCCGAGCGTAGATATTGCCTCAGTCTACTACGTTTAGGCGTTGATGTAATGTTTGTCCAAGCTAAGTCAGTTTTTTGGTGCAGCGTAACTTAGTTGACTGCCTGCTTGATGACTGCTTGAGTTTAAACGCTTGGTGAGTATGATACTCCAGTCTTTGGGAGTGAAACCGATTGCCATGATGCAGATGTAAGGCTAGAAGAAGCTGGTGCGTATAGGACCCCCAACCTGAGGAAGGTCTACCCAATGCTTTTGTGAAATTGTCATTTCATTCTGTCGTAAGCAAGAAGATTTTTTTCCCACTATACCTCCACTACCATTATCTGACATTTTGTTTTAATTGTATGATTAGGTGTATTGCTATTGAATGTATTATTTATATATCCTACACAAGCTGGATTTCTTTCACATGAATGTGGGTTCGCAGAATCACTGAATTGATACGACGATTGTACTGCATATTTTATTAGATTTTCTATATAGATAGCAACAAGTCGTTTCTTTATTGAACTGTTTGTGTCTAGCCGGCTTAAATATGGAACAATACCATTGGTTCTAAGCATGCTTACAGCTTTAACCGCACAAATTGGTTTATCTATACAACAATGTACTGTAGAGTTACTTAAGGAATTTTATAATTACGGACCAATAGCTTATTATAAGCATTATAATTTCTTATTGTAACGTACTTGACATCTTGGATAATTTTTCAGAATAGGAAAGTTAATTTAAAATAAAAAGAAATTGAATAAATTAAATGTGGTGGCTAGATAAATTGCTTAATAGGTAAAATAACTGTTGTTTTGTGTAATTTGTATAATCGGCCTTCCAAATCGGAAAATACGCTAAAATGCTTGTAAAGGAATAATAAAGGAATCTAGAGAATATAATGTTTACAAATGAATTGTTCATAAGGCTGCGTTTAGTGAGTCAGGCTTGGAGGAATCAATCAACTAGCAAATGATTTACAGCTTTCTTCATAAATTGACATGAGCTTCATCTTTGTGACTATCCAATATAAAGCAGGTCACTGCATGCTTTAGTGTTTCTATATTCCTGTCTGGTGCCAGTCTGTTTTTGGTCTAGAAAAAATCCTTGGTTTCGCCCTGCTAATTCCTTTACAACCCTATGCTAATGATAAATCTAAGTGAAGCAGACTCCAAAAACTTATCCTTTAAAGATTTATTTACTTGTATATTCTTATTTTTTATACTTTGCTTTTAGTGTTCATGAGACAGTACACCACATCCTCGTTAAATATCATCCTCCCGTTCAAGATCAAGAAAAAGGCCTTTACAGATGTGGGTACAGAGACCAACGGAATTTCGCGACCATAAAGGAGCTTATAATCTACCTTCAGGTAAACTTGGCTACAGAAGAAAATTCTTTTTTATTAAGCCTTTTTTGAGTAGCGTTATCCCTTATGATCTTTTTCATGGTGTAAAAATTTAAACGCAAGCCTGACGTTTGATCTCTTCTATACGAAATAATCATTTTATTTCATCCTGACAGTCATCAGAAAGAATCCTTTGTCATAATCCTAATCTATGTTAAACATGTTATAATTCAAGTTGTTCTTAGACATAGTATAAAAAGAAAAAAATATGACGAAGTCGAATAGGGATCGTGAGGCGTGCACAGCTGATTGTTTGTGTGTATGCTCCAGGTGATAATGAATAAACAGTAGGGTTTCAGGAAACGAGGGATCTGGAGCGAGGCAACTAAAAGATCTAGCTGGAGTTGCGTAGCCAATGTGGAAACTCAAATGAAACTGGGGAGACTTAATTCATCCTTGAAGTTGCTCCTGCTACCTGATAATAAGACGATGTCAGGATGAGAAATTCCAGGCTGTAAAGGAGACTAGTGTCTGAATTCCACATAGGCGGAACCTGGGGAAAACCGTTGAAATTAGAGACTAGGAGAGTTGCAATTGTCTGTTGCGTGCGAATAGTGCGCTTTTACGCAATGGCAACTAAAGATGAAAAGATATGGTCGCTTCGATGGAGGCTGGACTCAGGAGCAGTCTCCAGTCCAAGAGTTCCTGCCTATACGGCTCTTGTGATTTGAGTATCAGTTCCTGATTGGTTCAAAAGGTCCCGATCTGATGAGCTACAACTCGGCCATATCATTTTGGTATGTTTTACCTTAGCTTAAATTGTATTAGCTTTGTTTT